TAAGAAAGTTTTAAAATTTATGCATGATATTTTCATGATATACATTTTTCATGAATACCCACTGTATACACAGATTTCAAAAATTTTGCACCAAAATAAACATCTCTTTAATCCCACTTTCCATGGACATCCTAAAGTATCTTCATGTTTTCTTCTTTCTGCTTTCTTTGGGTCTATTTTCCTATTCTTTCTTTTTAAAAAATTCTCAAAATGGAAATTTAAAGTGTTACATATTTTCAGCTTTCCTTAATATAGTCTTATATTTTGAAAGGAAATAATTTACCTAAAGAGCTATATAAAGTACAACTAACATGGTAGATCTCGATTAATGGTGGCTAATTATCATTAAAGTAATACAAAAGTAAAATACAAGGAAGAAAATAGGAAAGAGACTCAATAATTATTCAAGGTCTCTTGTAAACATAATAACATAGAAAGCAGCAGATGAAATAAGAGGTCATTATATACACAAGACATCCTACTATTTACTTGGAGACATTATAAAATCTCAAAGTTGGAATAAAGGGGCCAGTGCTGTGGTACAGCGGGTTAACGCCCTGGCCCGCAGTACTAACATCCCATATGGGCGCTGGTTCAAAACCTGGCTGCTCCTCTTCTGATCCAGCTCTCTGCTATGGCCTGGGAAAGCAGTGGAAGATGGCCCAAGTCCTTGGACCCCTGCACCCCTGTGGGGAACTGGAAGAAGCTCCTGGCTTTGGATTGGCACAGCTACAGCTGTTGGCAGCCAATTGGGGAGTGAACCAGCAGATGGAAGACCTCTCTCTCTCTCTCTCTGCCTCTCCTCTCTCTGTGTAACTCTGACTTTCAAATAAATAAATAAATCTTTAAAAAAAAAAAAAAAAAAAGAAGAAGTTAGAAGTGATACCAGAGAATATCTGGTCATCTCCTGGATTTAAAATTGAAAATTAGCATTAGCCTTGGTATTACAGTTATTTACAGAAAAAGACAAACTGAAATCAAGTACCCTTGAATCGAACCTTAAGAGTTTTACTAGTACAATACATTGTTTTTTTGTTTTTTTAAAGACTGATTTGTTTGGACTGGCATTGCGGCATAGCAGGTTAAGCTGCTGCTTACAATGCCAGTATCCCACATGGGCACCAATTCGAGTCTAGGTTGCTCCACTTATTTTTTATTTTTATTTTATTTTTGACAGGCAGAGTGGACAGTGAGAGAGAAAGATATAGAGAGAAAGGTCTTCCTTTTGCCGTTGGTTCACTCTCCAATGGCCACCGCGGCTGGCGCGCTGCGGCCGGCGCACCGTGCTGATCCGATGGTAGGAGCCAGGTACTTATCCTGGTCTCCCATGGGGTGCAGGGCCCAAGGACTTGGGCCATCCTCCACTGTACTCCCTGGCCACAGCAGAGAGCTGGCCTGGAAGAGGGGCAACCGGGACAGAATCCGGCGCCCCGACCGGGACTAGAACCTGGTGTGCCGGCGCCGCAAGGCGGAGGATTCGCCTAGTGAGCCACGGCACTGGCCGGTTGCTCCGATTTCGATCTAGCTCCCTGCTAATGTACCTGGGGAAGAAGCAGAAAATGGCCCAAATCCTTGAGCATGTGCACCCATGTGGGAGACCCAGATGGAGTTCTAGGCTCCTGGTTTTGGCATGGCCCAGCCCCAGCTGTTGTAGCCGTTTGGAGAGTGAACCAGCAGACAGAAGATCTTTCCCATTCTGTTTCTCCCTCTCTCTGTGTAACTTTTCATTTATTTGTTTGTTTGTTTGTTTGAGAGAAAGAGTGAGAGCTCTTCCATCTGCAAGTTCTCTCCCCCAAATGGCTGCAAGGAAGCCAAGAGCCAAGAGCTTCAACTGAGTCTCCCACATGGGTGTAGGGGCCCAAGCACAGGTCCATCTTTTGCTGCTTTCCCAGGCATATTAGCAGAGAGCTGGACTGGGAGTGGAGCAGCCAGGACATGAATCAGCACCCACTGGGATGCTAACATTGACAGCAGCAGCTTAATCTGCTACACCACAATGCTGATCCCCCCATGTTGGCTCTTAAAGCCCATGAACATAACCTTCCCATTAAAACTCTCATAATACAGCATAGTGGTTAAAAGAACAGGTTACCAACCTGACTTTTAGCTTTTTAGTTCCTGACACTACCATTTCCAAGCTTTGTGATCTTAGGAAAGTTATTTAATATTTCTGTTCCCAAGGTTTTTTCCACTGTAAATGAGAAATAGTATCTATCTTATAACATTGTTTTTCATTGAGAAAACTACATAAAAGATATTCATAAAAAGTCACAGCATAGGGGCCAGCACTGTGGCACAGTAGCTTAGGCATCCACCTGCAGCGCTGGCATCCCATATGAGTGCCATTCATGTCCCTGCTGCTCCTCTTCTGATCCAGCTCTCTACTATGGCCTGGGAAAGTAGTAGAAGACGGCCCAAGTGCTTGGGCCCCTGCACCCATGTGGGAGACCTGGAAGAAGCTCCTGGCTCCTGGCTTCAGCTCAGCTCTGGCTGTTGTGACCATTTGGGTTGTGAACCAGTGATGGACGATCTCTCTCTCTCTGACTGTAACTCTACCTTTTAAATAAACAAATAAAATCTTTAAAAAAGAAAAATAAAGAAAGAAAGAAAAGAAAACACCAGCAAACAGAAGCTGAGGCTGCAGGCCAGCCCGAAACATATCCTTGAGCTTCAGGAATTAAAAAAAAAAAAAAAGTCCTAGCATAGAAAGCATGCCATGAATATTGTCTATCATAGTGGGAATACTTTGTGAATTTTGTTGTAAAAATTATTTCTGCCCACTATATAAATAGCAAACTTAGCTTCTTGACTTGTTTTGGCTAACAAAATATAAGTGGACATGATAGATGCCTAAAAAGCCATCACAAGGACCTACCATTGTTTTTCTATTGCAATAAGAACAGCACATCCATAAGGTAGGACTATTTCTGTGGTCTAGATCCTAGAATGCAGAGAATGCTTTGTAGAGCTGCAACTGACCCACAATTGACAGACAATATAAATAAAAGCCAGACTTTGTTATTATAAGCCACAGAAATGTAGGAGGTTGGTAATTATCTAATAAAAAGCCAACTGATCCTGATTAGCCCAAGCTGACTTGTAGAATCTCAAGTCCTCTCACTGCACTAGAGGCTGCAGAGAATCCATAAGGAGTCACACATAATCCTTGCAAAGAACTCATTATCCAATGAGCAGGACAATGGAGACAAATACAAAGCAAAATAGAAGGTAACTGTCCTAAGAAAGAAATAATGTGGTCTATGGGACATTGAAGAAAGGAAGAATTGGAAGTGGATAACAGAATGAAAGTGTATTTGTTTAGAAATCAGACATCAATAGAGCTCAATCTAAGACATTTCAATGAATTGGGAAACTACCAAGTAAAACTTATTTTAAACATCTTCTAGAGTAGTCTCTTTCATAGTTTTTAATAGTGAACTTTATAATCCCAACTAAGCACCCTAACTGTGGTAAGGATCCAAAGATTTTCCCCTGAGGAATAAACTGTCTTTACAAGAAATTCAACTACCACTATTGTTCATACTGGAGCATGTTGGCCTGAAGTATGAGCAAGAGTAAAGGGGACCTGCTCATGTGTCTATCCCCTAAATCATTATTAAAGGGATCCGAGGTGGCTACACAGAACATGTGACCACAAAACCTTATTAGAGAATTCAGCTGTAAACCTCAAGCCAATATTTGTCTAATGCTTGCTTAAAGTATCTGAAATTAGAGGGAAGCTTCATAACACTTTTAATTTCATGTAAAGCAAGATTATCAAAGCAAAATCCTAAACATACTCTCTTAACCAAAATGCTTCAGTGAGTTAGAAATTTCATGGGAGAACTAACTACATCTCACAGCATGGATCAATTTCACTTAGTGTTGAAAGAAATAAGCCAGATACAAAAGGGTACATGATGTACATGGTTCAATAAAAGGAAAAGATTGATAAACTGGACTCTCTTAAAATCAAAAGTTGATGTCCATCAAAGGACACAGAAAGGGAATAAAAACACTAGCTACAGAGTTGGAGGTGGTATTTACATTTCTTGTGAAAAGGGCTCATGTTCAGAATATGTAAATAATTCCTACAGTATGTATAAAAATTCAGTTAGGAACTATTCAAAAAACACCAAATGACCAAAAAGCAAGCAGTAATTTAATCTATACTGTTCAAGAGATGTTGTCTCATCTCTCAAGGTTACCAACTGCATAAACAAGGCTAAGAAGTAGCCAGACTAAAAGAGCTACCATGTGCTTGTAGTACTGGCCATCCAGGAAGACATGTAAAAGAGCAAAATGCCTCTTCCAAAAATGGTACACTGAGTTACAATGTAAACTGCATTTCTTACTGCACAAAGTGTTTGGAAAACACTGGCCTAAAGAATGTTTCACACTTAGCATAAAAAGCAATTTCTTGGTGTCATGACAAAATATTCTCGGGTGTATGTATTCTACGGTCAGCCACTGAAAACGTCCTTCTCTTCCCTCACATGGGTGTGCTTCCCATATGCTCCTCCTGCTGTGCCTTCCTTCTCTCTTCTTTCCCATGTGGTTGAAGAAGTCATCGTTTTCTCCAAGATTTCATTCTCTCCAAAACCTTTTCAGCAGTTTCATGAGTTTCATGCAACATGCTCTATAGAGCCACTAGTGGCTTCCTCACTGAAATTACAGTTTCTATTGACTCTTTTCTCCCCATTCCCAAATAAACTCTAAGGCCCCTGTGAGTAGGGTGCTTTCTTCATTTAAACAAGACCCAACCAAAACCAAATTAATACCTTAAAATAAATATCTTAAACTGAGCTCCAAAGGACTAGCCATTTATATACATGTGTCCTGGCCCTCTAACACTAAATTCTTCAGAAGCACTCACTGGTGAATATTTACAGCTGTGTTGGTTTGGGGTGGGATGTGGTAACGCTGCAGTGGTGATCCCAGAAGGACATTCTTCCCTTGAAGACTCTGCCCACAAACCTCCATCCTAGACAAACCAAGATAGCTAGGGTTAATAAGACAAACAAACCTTAAAGATAACTGTCGCTCCCCCTCTTCGTGGAGGAACGACACAGGACCCTGCGCTGTTCTTTCGCCTGCTCGGCCCTCCCCGGGTTTGCTGCTGGTTCTTCCCGGGTTGGCTACTATCTGTCGCTCCCCCTCTTCGTGGAGGAACGACACAGGACCCTGCGCTGTTCTTTTGTCTGCTCGGCCCTCCCCGAGTTTGCTGCTGGTTCTTCCCGGGTTGGCTACTATCCCTTCCACCTCCGTGGAAGGGCAGTTCCCCCTGGCCACATTCCCCACTTCCGCAGGGGAGCGGCACACTGCCGGCCGGCTCTTCTCGGGGGCTGCACAGGTGTTCCTTCAGCTAGATGTTCCCCTTAGACGTTCCCCGTGCATGCCGTCTCTCTCCTCCTTTATAGTCCTCCTCCGCCAATCCCAACTCGGCTGCCCACACGCAGAGTACGCTGCTCTCCTCCAATCAGTAGCAAGTCCTACAGTTTATTGGTTGAACTGGAGGCAGCTGTGCGGAAGCTGTTTACCTCTCTCCCAGCGCCATATTGTGGGAGAGCAGATGCATAGAATAAGTCTTAATTCCAGTAACTCAGTCTAGTCCGGTTTGCTCCCCACAGATCCCCCTTTCTTTTTATTTTTGGCGTTGATACGCGCCTGTCTTCGGTGTCCCGCGGCACACACTCTGCTCTACTTGCTAGAGTTGCCACAGGTTCTTACAAGTCCTATCAATCAGGCAAACCGAATCCGGGTCCTCTCTTCACCATGTTGTGAGGAGGTTTTTAGGCGCTGATGCGTGCCTGTGTTCGGTGACCTGCGGCTCACACTCTGGTCGAGCCGCCTGCTGGCGCTTACCGCCTTAATCAGGCAGACCGACTCCAAGCTTTCTCATTGCCGTATTGTGGGGGAGACTTATTAGTGTTGGTTCGTGCCTATCTTCGGTGACCTGCAGCTCATACTCTGGTCGAGCTTCTTGCTGGTGCTTACCGCCTTAATCAGGCAGACCGAATCCAAGCCTCCTAATTGTTGTATTGTGGGGAGGCCTTACTGATGTTAATTCGTGCCTGTCTTCGGTGACCTGCGGCGCATAAGCTGCTAGCCGCCCGCAGGTGCTCATCGCCTCAATCAGGCAGACCGAATCCAAGCTTTCTCATTGCCATGTTGAGGGGAGGCCTTTCTATTTCTCTATTTCTCTATCTCCGGGCATTCCTATTTCTCCCATTTTACTTCTATCTTCCAGCATTCCTATTTCTCTCACTTTACTTCTAAATTTCTATTTCTCTTATCCCTGCAGCTTCCCGGCACCTCGCCCTGCCGGCAGGCTCCGCCCCGAGGCTATTTCTCGGCGGCTTTCCGGCTGAGCCGCTTCAGCCCGCGTCTCTCTCATCTGCGCTGCTTCCCGGCTTTGCGCGGCTTGGCTTCGCGCGCTCCGCGGTCTCCACGCCCTTCGCGTCTGCACCACGGCCTCGCGCCAGCCCCGTTCCCTATCTACTTGTGCCCCGCACGCTCTCTCTGCGCGCGGCAGCCTCCACGAGTCACACAGCGTAGCTTACGTGTCCGCCACTAGCATTCAATCTAAGTTCCCCGGGCTAGCCTGGCGAATTCAACCCAGCTTACGTCTCCGCCCCACGGTTTGGCTTCCCGTCCTTTGCTCCCCGGGCTAATCAGACGGATCCCAACCAGGCTTACGTTTCAGCTTCTGGTTTCAACTTTTCGCCCCCTATTCCCGGGCTAACTTGAGAATCCCAAAGTGGCTTTCGTTTCAGCCTCGGCCTGCCCCCCGCAGCTTCAATTTCCCTAACACTTTTCTCTACCCGGTATGTTTCCCTAAGTTTTCTTCCAACAATATTCCTCCCTCATTTCTCCTGGCCTCTCCCCACAGTCCGTATCCAAGTCTAAGTTTCTTATAGGTTTCACTTTCACTTTCAACCTGTAGTCCGTATCTGAGTCTAAGTTTCTTCTTGCTTTCACTTTAAATCCTAACTTCTTTCCCACAGTCCGTATCCGAGTCCAAGCCTCCTCCAGGTTTCACTTTCGCTTTCAATCTCCTAGCTTCCCCGCCATAGTCCGCATCCGAGTCTATGAAAGCTTTCACTTTCGCTTTCAATCCTAACTTCTTTCCCACAGTCCATATCCGAGTCTATGCCTAGGCTTTCAATAGCTTCTTCCGGCACCTAGGCTCTTTGCTAGTCTCTCTCTCCGGTATTTTCCACTTCTTCCCATTTCTTCTCTCCTAGGTCTCCTATCCGTCCTAGGTTTCCTAATCCGAGTCACGGCACCATTATGTCGCTCCCCCTCTTCGTGGAGGAATGACACAAGACCCTGCCTAGGCTTCATATCCGAGTCACGGCACCATTATGTCGCTCCCCCTCCTCGTGGAGGAACGACACAGGACCCTGCGCTGTTCTTTCGCCTGCTCGGCCCTCCCCGGGTTTGCTGCTGGTTCTTCCCGGGTTGGCTACTATCTGTCGCTCCCCCTCTTCGTGGAGGAACGACACAGGACCCTGCGCTGTTCTTTTGTCTGCTCGGCCCTCCCCGAGTTTGCTGCTGGTTCTTCCCGGGTTGGCTACTATCCCTTCCACCTCCGTGGAAGGGCAGTTCCCCCTGGCCACATTCCCCACTTCCGCAGGGGAGCGGCACACTGCCGGCCGGCTCTTCTCGGGGGCTGCACAGGTGTTCCTTCAGCTAGATGTTCCCCTTAGACGTTCCCCGTGCATGCCGTCTCTCTCCTCCTTTATAGTCCTCCTCCGCCAATCCCAACTCGGCTGCCCACACGCAGAGTACGCTGCTCTCCTCCAATCAGTAGCAAGTCCTACAGTTTATTGGTTGAACTGGAGGCAGCTGTGCGGAAGCTGTTTACTTCTCTCCCAGCGCCATATTGTGGGAGAGCAGATGCATAGAATAAGTCTTAATTCCAGTAACTCAGTCTAGTCCGGTTTGCTCCCCACAGATAACAGTGTAGAAATGAGGTGACAGGGAAGATCAAGGAGAAAATCAAAGTCTCCCTCAGTCGCCAAAGGCAGAAAGAAGCACTGCAAAGTAATTCACACTTTCAACCTAGCCAAGAAAATTGCCTGGTGCTTCATGGAGGGTTTCTGCCTGTAAGTGTATGCTTTGCTTCTTCAAACATGCGCCACTCCATGAGGTTTTACTTCCCCAAATTGAACTCCAGAAACATAACCTTCCCTGCCTTCAACCCTCACTTCCTGGGGAGGGTGGTGGGTACTACCCTAATCCCACGGTCTTCATAAGACACTTTTTAAAATGCCGTGACTTCACTGCCTATTGGCCACAAGTTATCTCAGGGGTCATGGAGCCCAGTGTGTTACAGCTGATCTGCTTGAAGTGAGGACAGAAAACCTGAGGGAAATCGTGCATCCCTTTGCAGTAAAAGTCCCGTTCTGAGAAATGTACACATTTTTACCTTCCCAGGCAATGTTCTATTCATAATGTGGACCACAGCAATCTGCGATTTCTATCCATTTGGTGTTCATCTTAAAACAAGTTAAGTTTCAGGGATCAAAAGAATTTCAAGTCTGTTACCAAGGTGTGAAAAATCATAGTTAAAACAGAAAAATTATTTTCAAAGTAATCTGAAAGCCCAGATTTCTCTCTTGAAAAAAATTTTTTTTTTGACAGAGTGGACAGTGAGAGAGAGAAAGAAAGAAAGGTCTTCCTTTGCCGTTGGTTCACCCTCCAATGGCCGCCACGCTGATCCGATGGCAGGAGCCAGGTGCTTCTCCTGGTCTCCCATGGGGTGCAGGGCCCAAGCACTTGGGCCATCCTCCACTGCACTCCCAGGCCACAGCAGAAAGCTGGCCTGGAAGAGGGGCAACCAGGACAGAATCCGGCACCCCGACCGGGACTAGAATCCGGTGTGCTGCCGCCGCAAGGGGGAGGATTAGCCTAGTGAGCCACGGCGCCGGCCAACTCTCTTGAATTTCATCTGCAGATATAGGGGTTGAGGATTAGGGTTAAGAAGTAAGGCTATAATTTAGGCTATGGTCCCGGGTCCAGGGCACAGCTCTACAGGAATTCCCACAGATGTAGTAAAAACATTTTTTCCAAACTTAACTCATTAACTTTCTATCATCTCTTAAATCTAGGCTCTCCTGGCTAATAATAGGTTTCAAGTATCACTTTTTTTTTTTTGACAGGCAGAGTGGACAGTGAGAGAGAGAGACAGAGAGAAAGGTAGGTTTTCAAGTATCACTTTGTCACTTAAATAAACCCTTGAAAGTCATTCTAAAATCAATGTCAACGCCCACTCAGGCACAGCTCCCAGGAGCGTCATATTCTGAGTCTTTGCATATTCCACTACAAAGGAGAAACACTGAACGCAAGGGTCAGAAGTCAGAGACACCTGCAGTTTCTTGGAAGATTTTCTGGTTTTGTTGTTGTTGTTCATGAACCTCAGTCAAGTTCAGAGGCTTATTTATTAACCCATAAGTCAAAAAGCCTGGGAAACTGCTAACTAAGCAAGAACAATCTTGAAGAATTATCTATTAGGATTCTTATCCTGTATTCTTGTATCAGAGATCATGTATCTTCCGCCAAAGGGCACTAATTCTGTTAATCATGGCTAAACGCATAGTGCTACATCAAAGGCAAAGAAAGATCACGCATTGTACTTCTAGATTCAATGACGATATGTGCTCCCTATCTAACCAATCACCATTGCTTCCAACTTCAAAATTTATGTTTCATCTATAAAACTGGAAGCAGCAAAATACCAATAAAAAGTCTGCATATAAGAAATATAAAAACAATGCTTAAATTAGTTGTTTTCTCTGACTAAACCAATACAAACTACACTATGATATAATTTTCTTTCATTTCCATTTTATTTAAAAGATGGAGAGGTGGAGACAGACAGCAGACAGAGGGGGATCTTCCATCTGCTTGGTTAACTCCCCAAACCCTCAACAGCCAGGGCTGGGCCAGGTCAAAGCCAAGAAGCCAATCCAGATCTCCAACATGGGTGCCAGGGATCCAAATATTTGTACCTTCAAGGGTGCCCATCAGCAGTAATCTAGAATTGGAAGCAGAGACAGGACCAGGAACAGACACTCCAATACAGGATGTGGGAGTCCAACCAGCATCTTAACTGCCCCGGTATGTAATTTTTAAATGTCCTTACCTTATGAGTTGTAAAACTTCATTCTGAGAAGTAGATGTGATTTCAGGGCCTTAGTCTAAGTCACTTTTCAGTGACTTTTCACATCAACATTCCTAGAGACAAAGTACCGATACATTTAAACTGTCACCATCCTCTTCTTTTATACTAAAATCTGATGCAATAAGAGGCCTGGGGAATATCCTCACCACATAAGTCACTGATATTTTCCTTTGGCGTGTATTTTCTGATGTTTAGTGAGATTAGAGCTTCCACGAAAAGCTTTCCCACACTCGTTACACTCATACGGTTTCTCTCCAGTATGAACTCTCTGATGATGAATTAGGGTTGAGATCTGGCTGAATGCTTTGCTACACTCCCCACACTCATAGGGCTTTTCTCCAGAGTGGATCCGCTGGTGATTAATCAGGGCTGAGTTCACATAGAAGGCCTTCCCACACTCCTTACACTCATACGGCTTCTCTCCTGTGTGGATTCTCTGGTGCTTGATGAGCGCTGAGCTGACGCTGAAAGCCTTCCCACAGTCATGACACGTGTACGGCTTCTCCCCAGTATGGATTCTCTGGTGTTTAATCAGGTCTGAGCTCACACTAAATGCTCTGCCACATTCATTACATTCATAGGGTTTCTCTCCATTGTGGATTCTCTGGTGTATAATCAGGTGTGCTCTCACACTAAAGGCCTTCTTACACTTGTTACAAGTGTAGGGCTTCTCCCCAGTGTGGATTCGTTCATGCACAGTGAGGGTTGAGCGCACACTGAAGGCCTTTCCACAGTGATCACACTCGTAGGGCTTCTCGCCAGTGTGGATTCTCCGATGTCGAAGGAGGCCCGAGCTCTGGGCAAATTTCTTTCCACACTCACTGCATCTATACTGTTTTTCTTCTGTGGGGCTGCCCTCCGGCTTCTCTAACTGATCCTCATACTCAGAGACTTTTCCACACTCAGGTATCTGTAAAGTATCCTCATTATACATGCCATGAACCTTGTGGTACGGATGCATCCTTGGAAAATCTTCCCTTTAGAGCTGACACCTTATTCACACCTCTGGCCTTGATTCCTGAAATAATAAATAGACTTTTTAAATGGACGTTACTCCCAGCTGCTAAAGTAATGTATTGTGATGCAGACTTAGCGAGGGCTCTCCAACATGTTTGGTAATCCCAGCACACACCAATCATATGGCAGCCACATCAAATGTTTTCATTCAGCCTGTACCATGATACATCACAGAGCTACTGGAATGAATACCTGACCCAAATGGCTATTTAAATGTAGCCTCCGGGTCCGCATTGAGGCATAGGGGTTAAAGCCACCGCTTGCAGTGCCAGCATCCTATATGGGCACTGGTTCGAGTCCCAGCTGCTCCACTTCTGATCCAGCTCTCTGCTATGGCCTGGGAAAGAAGTAGAAGATGGCCCAAGTGCTTAAGCCCCCTGCACCGACGTGGGAAACACAGAAGAAGCTCCTGGCTCCAGAGAAGCTAAGCCCTGGCCATTGTGGCCATTTGGGGAGTGAACCAGAGGATGGAAGACCTCTTTCTCTCTTTGCCTCTGTAACTTTGCCTTTCAAATAAGATAAATACATCTTTTTTAAAAAAGTATCCTCTATAAAGGTATCTAAAACAGAATCTGGGATATAAAAATAACAGAATTTCTACCTCGAAAGACTTCATACTTAACTAAATTGGAAAATAAGGCAGAAATTGAAGAATCACAGATATAGATGGAATACAGAATTAGATAAGAAAAAAGGAACAGAAGCTCAATCAGAAATTTGGAAAAACGACAGTATCATTGACAGGTATGTTTTACCACCCACAGAAGTCCACACTGCTGGAGCTGGAAGAGACACAGCGGACAGCGGAAGCTCTGCCCCTTGCAATGCCATTATTATTGCAAGCAGCTGCTGTCGCTATGATACTCTGTATCTTAGCAACAGGGCTGTTCCGTCACCTCTGCAAGTGTGACAAAGTACATCCTTCCCGTCTCTAAAGGCAAAAGGGTCCCATCAGCCCATCCCATCTTCAAAGCTCAGATTAAGGTGTGAAGAACATAGCCGATGGCTGACACTCTCTGAGCCTCTAGCAACGAACCCCAATGTTGCTACCTAACTGGTTAAAACTTTTGCTCCAAACTCAAAATTACACTAATTATCCCTCTCTGCCTTTTTCCATTCAACAAACTGGCTCAACAGCGATCAGCTGACATTTTGCACTCTTGAGAATGGCACTTCGCCTCTGTGGTCACCCACCCTCCAACCTAGAACTTCATATAATGCTGACAACAAGTCTAACCCCAATCGCGCAACATCCCACCCCACTCCATGCCCCCCCCCCCAAAGCTCGCAGAGAGCTGGGGCCACAGGGCTAAGAGAAAATACGGTTGTAGTCTTCCACCCTGCCCCCAGAAAGTCAGCCCTGTCTGCAGCAGAGCCTTCCGGTCCTCGAGGCTCATCCAAGGCCCGGGGGCACTGGACCCTGGACGCCGGCCTGGAGACGCTCTCGCCGCAGGTCGCGGGCTCTCAGGGAAGTCGGTTCAGCCAGGCGCAGCGAGAGAAAGGAAGGGATGGAGGAAGCGGGAGGAGAAAGGGCAGCAGGGAACAAGAGGGAGAGAGCAAGGGTCGGAGTGCGAGAGAGCAGGCGGAAAGGAGGGGGCTGGGAAGGGAGGGAAATAGCGGAGCTGAGGCGACCTGCTTAGAACGCGCTTTCTCCCTTCCTCCAAGACTGCTCACCTCGGGGCTCCCACAAAACCTAGGCCAAAGTCACGAGGAAACTCACCGGCAGCACCGCGACTACACGAAACCCACCGAACAACTGCAGGCAGCCGGCGGCCTAGAGCGGGCGACTTCCGCAGACTCCCGCCCCCGGCAGCTGCCGAGCCGCTCTAGGATCCTGGAGGCCTCCCTCTCAGTGGTCGGCGAGCTGACGCGTCTAGAAGAGGCATCAAGAGCAGAGGAGACTCTCCAATACCTCTGATACTTCCCTCCTTCGAGTCTGAGGATAAGCACTCGCAGGAAGCCCAACAAGATGGTTTTAAAGCACTTGATATATGTTTTTGTATTTTTATATTCAAATAACTAGGAAATGGTCCATAAAACCGCCCGAAACAGAAGAATTTCACACAAATTTTGGGAAACAATGCCATCAATGTGTCATGTATGACAAGAACTGGCATTCTAAGTCATCCTATGCAAACACTCATTAAATGAGCAATTACTTAATATATATTTATTGAGGTCCTATCAGGTTCAAACCTGGAATGTTATGGCAAATGTCAGAAAAAGACAATATTCTTCCCTTCAGAATACATTCCTCTCACATGTTCCAGTGGAGGCAACACGAACAGCCATATAAAGCTTGTGACACGAACAAGCTAGCACAGATAAATAATGGCATATGTAATGGTAGTTATCTTCTCGCCTAAAGTAGGTCTGATGATGAGTGTCCAAGTAAGCAAATTCCCCCATGCCTCCCAGCTTTTTTCTAGTGATCTCACATATAGTTTTATTCTTGAAATCTTAGTTTAGCTAGTCCACTTCCATACCCCCTTGGGTATTTTAAAATATACATTATTTATTCAGTAAATTGTTTTACTTTTTAAAAAATGTGTAACTGACATATAAAATTATACATATTAATTGGCTACTATGTGATGTTTTGATACACATATCATTGTGTAATGTCCAGTCAGTGTATCTGTTTCATCAAACATTTTACGTGTCTTTATGTAGATCACATCCCCAATCCTATCCTCTAGTTTTTTAAAATACAGAAATAAATGTTGGCCTCTTAGGAGGAATGTGGTAGAATTCCCTCTTTTATTTTTCAAAAGATTTTAAGAAGTATTGGAGCATATTCTTTAAATGTTTGCTTGAATTCAGCAGTGAAGTTCTCTGCTTCTGGGCTTTTCTTTGTTAGAAGACATTTTGCTACTGATTCAATCTTGCTACTTATTAATGGTCAGTTTAGGTATATTCTATTCATTCATAACTCAATCTTGATAAGGTGCTTGTGTACAGGAATTTGCCATTTCTTCTAGGTTATCGATTCTGCAACATAATTGATCCTTAAACTAGGGACGTCCTGTAGACCGATGCCAAAGGGTTTTGTCCAGCATACGGAAAATTGGAGTCCGAGGGTGATGGGGAGGCTAGTTCTTTTAATGCCCACATCACGTTTCATCAAAAGGAGCCCCACTTGCTTGTTTGTGTATTCTTGTGGATGCAGGGTGGGAGGGAGGAGTTAGGATTGATTGAAAAAAGAAAAAAATCTATTAGATGTCAGTATTTTAATAATAATGCATCGTAACAATTTTCTTGTCATGTAAATGTTGACTGTGGTCATCTTCATAGAGCCTTAGTCTCTTTGTTGTGAATTGCAAGCATTCATTTATGTTTAAGTATGTTAACATTTTGACATTCATTGCAAGTGAAATACCGCGTTTTTCCCTTTTATTTTAATGTAGTGTTATTTTTGTTTGATGGAATTTATGTATTGAAAATACAACCGTGTTTCTGTTGTGGTCAAAAAGAAAAGGGGGGGGGGGATCCTGAACAAGCCAACCACATGTCCAACACGGAGTAGAGCAGTCCATAGAAGAAAGTGCTTCTCTGAACTCATGTCCTCAACCCCTGAGAGAGGCAAACACAGAGTTCTTGGTCCTAAAATAAAGAGATGATGAGGTTTGGTCCATTCCTAAATAAAAGCCACTCACCTCTCCACTAACAGGTATCTTCGTTCAAGTCCAGGGAGTCTTCCCTCTCAAAACTCCCAGTATTTGGCTGCTGCACCACTTACCCAGTCTCCTTTGCCTGTTGCAGCCTAGATTCTCATAGACACATCATCTCAAGGCATAGACGGATATATCGAACTCAAAGCCAGGTGAACACATGGAGGCTGCGTGTCCAGTACTTCAAACCTCCGACTCCCTGGTCCATTATCCCGCTCCACTCTTTTCTCCAGAGAACTTGCCACCTCCTAAAATCCCACACAATTTACTTATTTGTGTTTGTTATCTGTTTCTCCTCAGCTTAAAATCAACTCCAGTCTCTCTCCCTTGCTCTGCTGATGCAACCAAGTGCCGGACAGTGCCTGGCTCTTAGCAGACGCTCAACCACTGTTGCCAAGAGACCAAAAGGACACAGGAAATCCAGGTCAAGTTCGCAGGTTGAGACCATAAGCAGGTTTGTGTAAGCACCAAGTCCACCCACCCTACCCCACATCACGCTTCTGGCCAACCCACAGATGCTTAAAAAGCAGAACAGGCACAAATTTAGAAAAATCACAATGTTCAGAATGAAAGCCAAGAGAACTATTAAAAGTCGTCCACGCTGGGATCTGTATTTTGTTAATGGTTCTCTAGTTTACTGCAGGGACATGAAGGGAACTGCACTGAAAAGGAATTCTGTCAGGATGTCTACCCTTGGGGAAAGCAGGCACCAGTCCTGCCTTGTGCCTCCCATTATAATAGACTTCTGTTCTTTAACACACGCTGTTCCCATAGGAACGGTGAAAATCAAAGCATGCAGAATTGCTTTTTCCCCAAAACACACCGACCGAAAAGTTTCATTCTAAAATACACGGTTTAGATAAACAAACAAAACTGTAAAATAATTCCTTTGGAATAAGAAGCTCTCCACATCGCTGTCTCTGTGGCGCAATCGGTCAGCGCGTTCGGCTGTTAACCGAAAGGTTGGTGGTTCAAGCCCACCCAGGGACGAGTGCTCTCTGTAATTTCCTGGTAAACACTGCCGCTGCATTTTCTGACATCCACGTGTGTGCATTTTCACAATTTAAAAGAGGAACCTAGATTAAAATTTACCAAACTCCAAACGCCCCCGGCAATGCAGCATTTCACACTCCACCCTTGCACTGCCCTGGCCACCTGCCAGAGCTCTCCAACTTCCAGGGGCACCAGCAGACTCTGAGGCTCCTAAGGATGCCCCAACTCCTCTTCTTACCCTGTCTCCAGGGCCTTGAGACCCCTGGGCTGTGCCTACCGTGGACCTCCGAATGCGGCCGCAGACAATGCGCACCAGGAAGTGCGTTACCTGTTCTTTCTGTTCTCCTCTTCACGTAAGAAATGATACCGCAAATCCCTGGTTCCACTGGTTTCCTATGAAAAGCTCATTGCTTTTTAAGAATGGAAATTTCATTTCTTGCTTTTTAATTTAATTTCTTGCTTTCTCTTCTTACCCTAATGCGTCTATGTAACTATCAATTTTTGCCCCCCCCCCTTTTTTTTGACAGGCAGAGTGGACAGTGAGAGAGAGAGACAGAGAGAAAGGTCTTCCTTTGCCGTTGGTTCACCCTCCAATGGCCGGCGCGGCCGCGCGCTGCAGCTGGCGCACCGCGCTGATCCGAAGTCAGGAGCCAGGTTGGCTTCCCCTTCTATTTTCATTAACTTACTCTATTAAAGAGTAACACTTTTTTTTTTTCTAGTGGACTATTTTACCTTCCCTGTTCACTTATTCTCTTTTTAGAAATGTCAGAACTGAAATATCTCGTTCAATTAACATGTTTGGATGTTTTGAACAACTTCCTTTTAAATGTTTGTAGTTTTCCTTCATTTTCATTTTTAAAGACTTATGTATTTGAAAGGCAGAGTTACACAGAGAGAGGAAGAGACAGAGATCATCCATTTGCGGATTCACTCCCCCAGATGACCACAAAAGTCAGGACTGGGCCAGGCTGAAGCCAGGAGCTTCTTCCTGGTCTCCCACGTGGGCACAGGGGCCCGAACACTGATTGCTTTCCCAGCAGCATTAACAGGCAGGTGGCTCAGAAGTGGAGCAGCTGGGACAGGAACCCATGCTCATGAGGGTTGCCTCCCAAGGAGAGGCTTAACTTCTTGTGCCACAATGTCAGCTCCTTTTCTCACATTTTGTTTAAAGATTTATTAGCAGACCTGCCTCTGTCTCCCCTCCTCTTCCCAGCTGAGTGACCATTACATTACTCTGTACTTCAATGAAATCAATTTTTTAGCTTCCCTATTTGCATGAGAAAATGTGGCATGTCTCACTGTGCCTCGCTTATTGTAATGACAGGATTTCATTTTTTTTTCATTCCATGTGAGTAGTATTATATAGCATATCTTCCTTACCTATTATGGCCATTTGGTTGATTCTTATCTTGCCTATTGTGAATACCATGGCAGTAAACTGAGGAGAATGTGGGCATCTCTTTAGTATGTGGATTTTCTTTTCTTTGGATAGACACCCAGTAGTGGAATAACTGGATCATGCAGCATTTGTATTTTCAGTTATTTGAGGAACCTCCATTCTGATTTCCATAATAGCAGTTCTAATTTACATTCCCACTCACTATATAAGAGTTTCCCTTTCTCTGCATCCTTGCCAGCATGGTTTTAATGTTTTTCTGTCCTTTGATAATGGTCAGTCTAACTGTGGAGAGGGATATTTCACTGTAGTTTTGATTTGCATTTCTCTGCTGTTTAGTGGAGTTTTTTTTTTTCTTTCCTATAATCATTACCCATTTGTATAACTTCTTTTATGTAATGTCTACTCAGGTCATTTGCCCATTTCAAAAACCAGATTGAGTTTTTTGCCTTTTTTTTTTTTTAATTTCCTTAGTATATTAACCCCTTGTTGAATGTTTTGTTGTGCAGAAGCTTCTTAAATAAGCTGATAAAATCCTATTTGTCTCTATTTGTTGCCTGTGCCTTTGGAGTCTTACTCAAAAAAAAAAAAAAAATCATTGCCTATACTGGTATCTTAAAGGATTTCCCTTATATTTTATTCCAGTAGTTTCATAGTTTTGGGTCTTAGATTTCGGTCTTTGACGCATTTTGAGTTGACTTTTGCATATGGTTGGAAGGGTAGGAGACTCTAGTTTCAATCTTCCACATGTGGATATCCAGTTTCCCCAGGCTATGAACCTTGATACAATGGAATTAGTTATTCCAAAATGATTGAGTTTAAAATAGGAAATTCCACAGTCCTCTCTAAATTCCCAATGGCACAGAGGCTGAGGGTTAGCCTGCCTGGGGCCTGGAAAATCCAACAGCCACTTGGAAAGGGGGGTGGGGGGAGGACCTGCAGTCTGCTATTCACTGACACCTCCCATCCAAGATGTGGGACTGTCGAGGCCCTCCTGGCTCCCACTGGCCTCAGGGGAGGCTGCTCCTTCCCAGTTGGAAGACAAGCTCAAGTATTCTTCCTGTCCCTGTCTACCCTTTCAGCCTTTCCTTGTGGATTTCACGCTAATTCCAGCTCTGCCCTTGCTAACCCTGCAGGAAAGGTTACAGCACCAGCCATTGCCTGCCTACTCTGGACATGTGTGCAAATGCTGCATCCTCCCAAGTGTCTTCATCCTAAGAACAGGCTGAAAACAGGAGAAAACCAGACAACTTTACACTGATGTTCACAGCTCAGTTCATGTCTCAACAGTTTTCAACATGTTGTAAGGGTTAAAAAAAGATTTAGGAAAGTACATGATTTTACTTCTCTCCAAGTTATTCAGCATCTCAGTTTTTGGTGGCCATGGAGGTGAGAACTGTAATTGACCAAGGCAGAAAAAAACCACTGGAAACCATTACTGAACCTCAAGCAGTCTGCTGAGCTCATCACTCTATTGTGGGGCACAGAGCACATCCCTGTGGGTTCCACCAAGGGTTTCTTCCATAACTTCTGTTACAAGACTTCAGGAAGACATTTCATGAGGAGTCATGAAAAATCAAATTCAAGATTGGCTAGAGATGTGACACACGCAGGTTTTTAGGAGTAAGGTCACAAGGCACTCACGAAACCCAACTCTGTGCCTGCCCTCTCCCCCAACCCCTCCCCCCCCCCCCGCCCCCCAAGCAATTTCCCATTTCATTCCTTGAGCAATCAGCCCACTGTAGAGCTGCAGACAGGGCCTCAGCTCCTGTTGGGAAAGGAACCAAGTTGCATCCTGGACTATGTGGCAAGCAGACCCATGACAGAGAATTATGCAATTTGCTACTCTTGGTGTTAGATGAAATCAATCTGTTCATATTTGCAGGTACACTTCCTGCCCTAGTCTATGAAATGTGCCTCTCATGAAATTCATGCAATAACCATTCATCATAGGCACAGTGAGAATGTTGGGACTAAAAGGTAAAATACTCAATGGAAAACTGTCTCTGAGCTCAGTTTTAGTGAGGAGACACAGTATTATATGACTTTGTATTAAGTAAATTAATAAAAAAAAAAAAAAAACATATGTGCAGCAGGTTAACGCCCTGGCCTGAAGCACCAGCATCCCATATAGGCTCCAGTTTGAGACCTGGCTGCTTCACTTCCAATCCAGCCCTCTGCTATGACCTGGGAAAACAGTCGAAGATGGCCCAAGTCCTTGGGCCCCTGCACCCGCATGGGAAACCCGGAAGAAGTTCCTGGCTCCTGATCAGCGCAGCTCTGGCCGTTGCGGCCAATCAAGGAGTGAACCAGCAGATGCAGGAACTCTCTCTCTGTGTAGTGTAACTCTTTCAAATAAAGAAATAAATCTTGAAAAAAAAAAAAAGTGTGCTTTTCAAAAGGGAAACAAAATTCTGAGTGCAAAAACTTAATTTTCCTGCCTTCAAAAGGCTTCGTCTAGACAAAGTCAAGATGAAAAGTTCCTGGGAAATTCATTTCCTTCCACCTATGACTTACCCAGCCTGCTTGGATGCAGGCATGAGCCCTTCGTGCAGCGGGTTAACACCCTGGCCTGAAACACCAGCATCCCATATCAGCGCCGGTTCTAGTCCCGGCTGTTCCTCTTCCATTTGAGCTCTCTGCTATGGCCTGTGAAAGCAGAAGATGGCCCAAGCCCTTGGGCCCCTAAATCTGTGTGGGAGACCCGAAAGAAGCTCCTGGCTCCAGATCGGTGCAGCTCTGGCCATTGCAGCCATCTGGGGAGTGAACCAGTGGATGGAAGATCTCTGTCTCTACCTCTAACTTTGCCTGTCAAATAAATAAAATAAATCTTCAAACAAAATTCAAGTAATAACCACATTCTTACTACTCCCTATAAGTCACCAGCTTGAATGATCAGTCACGGTGTGAAGGTTTCTTAGTTTATTGTAATATTGGAGTTCTCCATGCCTTGCAGTGGCTTGCATTGATTCTCTGAAGCCCCAGGGCTGCTTTGCTCACCTGTTTGCAAGCTCTAGTACTGTTAAGTGCACCTGAGAAGGATCTGTTCCCAGCCCCCTCCTCTAGGTTTTACCCATCTTTACAGTGTTCTGAATGTGACAACTCATTCATCAAACGTTTCCAACTAAGGGAGCACAAGTTCTTTCAGACTACTGCTCTATCATCTTCCTAGTTCACTTGGCAGGAATGATCTGGAAAACACAGTGCAGACTGAGTCTTAAGACTGTAATCACAGGCCGGTGCTGTGGCTCAATAGGCTAATCTTCCACCTGCGGCGCCGGCACACCGGGTTCTAGTCCTGGTTGGGGCTCCAGATTCTGCCTTGGTTGCCCCTCTTCCAGGCCAGCTCTCTGCTGTGGCCTGGGAAGGCAGTGGAGGATGGTCCAAGTGCTTGGGCCCTGCACCTGCATGGGAGACCAGGATAAGCACCTGGCTCCTGGCTTTGGATCAGCGTGGTGCGCCGGCCGCAGTGCACCGGCCACGATGGCCATTGGAGGGTGAGCCAATGGCAAAAGGAAGACCTTTCTCTCTCTGTCCACTCTGTCAAAAAAAAAAAAAAAAAAGAAAAAAAAAAAAAGACTGTAATCACAAATCAGGTCTGCAGTAGGAGCACTCCACGCCCTTCCACAGCCCCATTCCTACCACCAGTGGCCATGTTATCACCCATCACCACTGTTTCCTCAAGTGTGCCTTAGTAAATACCGAATTAGATACTGACAATGTGGGCTAAGAAATCAGTGTGTGGGGTCTCTGCCTGCAGCACCAGCACCTGATACGGGAGCCAGCTCCAGTCCCGCCTGCTCTGCTTCTGAACCAGCTCCCGGCTGATGTACCTGGGAGGGCACCAGAGGATGGCCCAAGTGCCTGGGTTCTTGTGCTCACATGGGAGACCCAGAATGTGTTGCGACCATTAAGGGAGTCCAGTAAACAGATCTTTCTCCTTCCTTCCCTCTGTGTATTTCTGCCTTTCAAATAAATAAATTAAAAAGAAAAGAAAAAAAATCAATGTGTGAGACAGCAAACCATAGTGCTACCACACTATTCATCCTTACAGGACACGGACCTCCTGCCAGGCTAACTGGTGGTGTCATTCTCCAGTCAGAGTTTAAGTGCTATCACAAACCTTTCTAAAGAGGTGGACAGCCCAGAAGGCTGTATCTAGAGAATAGTACAGGAGAGTTAAAATACAAAGTTCCTACCCCAGCTTTCCATTAACTTGCCAATGTATAAAGCCTTGCTTTTGAAGATTATTTCTGGCCAAAGCCAGAAACTCTATCCTACTCTCGTACGTGGAGAGTAAGAACCCAAGCATGTGGGCCACCTGCTGCTGTTGCTTTCTCAGGCACATTAACAGGGAGATGGATCAGAAGCAGCTGGGACTCAAACTGACACTCTGATGTAGGATGCTGGTGTTGCAAAAGGCAGCTTAACCTGCTATGTCACAACTCCAGCCCCTAGGCTTGCCTTGAAGGGTTGTGTGTGGAATAAACCTTGCTACAGCTCTGCCCAGACCACCTGCCATCCTGGTCTGGAATGCAGTGTGTAAGTTCCCTTAATAAACTCTTGTATTCCTATATGGCGCTTCCCAATTCAATTTTTCAGTCTCAGGATTCCTGCTCAGTTTGGGAGACATGACATACTCTGCCATGACAAATTCTGCCTACCAGACACTCAGAGAAAGGCGGGGAGGAGGTGGGGTTCAGGTAGAATGGAGGCTGAGAACAGGAGATGAAGCAAAATGAACAGATGGAATACAAGAAAAACTTCTAACTTGTTCAATGGGCTCCATCCCCCGAATCTAAAAGTATGTAGAAACAGTCATATTCTTCCTTTTCTGTAAAAAAATTTCAAAGATGGTTTCCATCCCAGTCCCACTTTATTAGCTGCTCTACTTGCTTTCAATTAAGAAACAAAGATGCTGCTGCCCCCTCACCTATGGATGGTAAACACAACCTGACTCCCTAACAAGCCGTTCCTCTGATTAGCAATAAAGGGCCTTTCTGGGACCGGCAAGTGGGAGTTTTAGGGAAACCCAGCGAGACAGCCAGCCAAAAGTCAAGCAGAGGAAAACCAACTCCTACAGTAGTCATATCCACACCACAGGAATTAGGCATTTCAGCCAAACACGTACAGGAGTCGGGAGGAAGGAGAAAGGAAGCCTGAAACACTTGCGTTTCTGGGTCCTCACCAGGGAAACACAATAAAATGTTTGCCTGTGTGGTCAGTCTCCCTAGTGTGAGGTAGAACGAGAAAGGCAGAGCCGGGGGCCGGAAGGGGTCTCCCATTCCCTCAGGAGTCCCTGACCCGAGAAGGTCCCTCTGTGTTCTCCGAGGGGGGCGCAGCTCCGAAGATCTTGGCAAGGAGCCCTCGGTTGGAGCGCGCCTGGTCCTGGACTGCAGCCAAGCGAGCCCGCTCACGCCCTCCTGGCCGCGCTGCCTTCCGGGCCCTCAGCTCCTGCTCAGTGGGCCGCTGGGCAAATGCCCAGGAGCCATCTGGTCGGGTAGGGTCCCCATCAGCAGCAAGGAAGCGCTGTCCTCGCTCCACACTTCGAAGATAGAAGTCAGTCTCCCGCTTGGCTTGGGCAACCTCTGCTCTCAGGCGCTGCCTCCGTACTTGGCGCTCAAAGGCAAGGTGTTCACTGAGGTGGGACCAGGTGAACCGGTGCAGGTACTGTGGGCAGGAAGAAAAGGAGAGATCAAGGAGAAGAACTGGGAGACAGACAGGCGGACAGCTTGGCACGTGGGCCAATCCTCACCTTGAGATTCCACAGGTCATAACGGAACGGGCTGCGCTTGCGGGCACCCATGGGCGTGTTGTGCAGACTGGCCGCCACGCGCTTGGCTATGCGCTTGTCCCGAAACTCTACCCAGCCTTCGGTGTAGTCTTTGCTGTACTTCGACCGCTTTTTTCCTCCTGTGGCCGCTGCTGCTGCTTTTTTCTTGCGTCTCACGAACCGATCTGCGTACCAAAGACAGAGCTGAGCTCGGGACTCGGCACCCCAGACGCGCCTCCCACTGGCCGCGCCATTCTCTTAGCTCGCCTACGGGGTACCCCCTCACAGTCTCTGGAAAGAATGAACTGTGAGATACACTCTGCCTCACACACCCTTTCCTTTATCTAGATCAACACTTCCTCAAATGTCACTCCTTAGGTCTGCCCTGCACGCTACCAAAAACTTGTACAGGGGCCGGCACTGTGGCGCAGTGGATTGAACCCCTGGCCTGCAGTGCAGACATCCCATATGGGTGCAGGTTCGAGTCCCGGCTGCTCCACTTCCGATCCAGCTCCCTGGATTCAGGGAACCAGCTCCCTGGATCGTGTGCCTCGGAGGGCAGTGGAGGATGGCCCAAGTCCTTGGGCCCCTACACCCATGTGGGAGACCCGGAGGAAGCGCCTGGCTTCAGATCAGCTCAGCTCCGGCCACTGCAGCCATTTGGGGAGTGAACCAGTAGATGGAAGGCCTCTCTCTGTCTCTCTTTAACTCTTTCAAGTGGCTAAAATAGGAAAGTTCCTGATGTTTTTATTCCAACTGCACTATCGCTCAGCGCATCAGTAGGCACAGAAGTAGGCGCACACGAGATCGGAACCCAAAGGCCGCAAGCCCAGAACTAAGGGGCCAGTAGGCCCGCCCCCCGCCCCGCCCGCTCAGAGATCCCATTCCTACGATGCACCAGGCCAGCGCCTCGAGAGTTCACAGAGCGCGCCCGCGCTCCTACCTTCCGCCTGAAAGAACACGCGTCCGACCTCTCCGTAGGCGCTCAAGAGGTTGCGCACGTGCAAGGGACGGAAGCGCGGCGGGACGTGGCCCAAGTATACAATTCCCGGCACCACCCGCTTCTTCTTGCTGCGGCCCGTTTCTGTGGATTCCTCCTGGTCCTCTTCCTCCTCTAGTTCCTGCTCCGTCCCTTCTGGCGGATCTGGTTCCGTGGCTGCCTTCTCCGACTCCTCCACCTCCATGCTGACAGAGACAGGGAGCACGACAGCCGTAAAGCGCCGTGGCGATTACGCACTCGTCGTGCGACGACGTGCTACGAGGGGCGGGACTGGGGCGGTGACTACGCAATGAGCGACAGCTTGCCGCGAAGGGCAGGGCGAGGAGATGACAACAATGAAAAGACTGAGGGACGGAAGCTGGCCCAAGAGGGCGGATTTGAGGGTGTCAGGTCAGAAGTGAGAGTTGAGCTGGGGGAAGGATGAAAAATCGGGAGAGCGGAAGTGACGCCTCTCCAGAGGTGGGGTGACGGAACCGGAACCGGAAATAACGTTACGAGAACGACGTAACACGCCCGGTTGAACGCCCTGAAGAGGCGCGGGCGAGTGAGGCAGGGCTCCGGGAAGTTCGCGGGGCAGTATTTGCCGAGTTTCTTTGTGCCCTAACGATCGAAATAACATTTTATACAAAGAACCCGGATATGGTGTCGGTGACGGATAACTCATCTTTGTAAACTTCGATTTTCAATGTAAAACTAAGAGTTTTGAAGTCTCACATGACAGTATTGAATGTTTTGAATGTTTGAAAATGTGGTTTAACGTTGCAGATGTTTAGATTTACTTTCGAAATTTTAGACAGTTTAACGACTTTAAATTTGATTTTGTGAATGTCTGAAGTAAGTGTGCGTGCGAATTATTTGAAGAACTTGGCTTGTTCCTTATGTGTGTGTGATAGTCCATGTGTGCGTTTCTGTCACACGTATTCGTCAGGTGCACCCAGGCCAGCCCGGTGCGGTTCAGCCCTCCTGTCCCAGGTCCTACCCGGCGGCCCCGGCGCGACCGCGCTTCCCGACGCCCAGACCCGGGCAGGGCCCCCGGGGCGCCCCGAGGACGCGCCCTGACGACGCGTGCTCGGTGGGAGCAGAGTGCCGCCCAAAGGCGCCTTTCAGTTTTTCGTCAATGCGCGACGCCCTTGATGGGGGCCCCAACACTAGTTTTGCATCCCGACTTGAGCCCAGAGGGACAGAGCGGGGGCAAACACGTCCCCACTTAAAAGGCCCCAGCTCCCTTCCAGAGATCCTGTGCATTTCTCGCTTCGCCGCCTGCACGTGCGTTCATTTTAAGGGAGACAGCTCTTCCCCGGTCCTGTGTGTGTGTGCGGGGGTGTTGGTGGCAGTGCGTGGATGCGGTTCCCTCCTCATCCTTTAACCCTGCCCTGAGAACAGCGCTGGGCGCCAGATCGCTTCCTGGCTGTGCAGAAAGATCTCGGGCGGGGCGGGCGCGTGCCTGGAGCAGACGGTGCCTTAAAAAAAAAAAAAAAACTCCGAATGCACGCAAGCGCTAGGTGATGAGAGGCGCAGCGCTGCTTAAAGTCTCTTCAGGACTCACCAAGATAGCACAGAGCCCCAAAGGCCAGCCCTAAACCTCTGGTGAAAATTGGGAGCGAACTCCCTTTGCGCTTCGCGTAGCACACGCGTCTTCGCAGCTGAACCCGGTGGGCCGGGGGCTCCGGGTATACTCGGGGAGCGGGAGAGGCGTGCCGTGTTACTGTGGGGCATATTTTATACACGTAAATAATAAAGGTCTGCGAGTTTGAGCGATAAGCATCCAAGCATCCTGGTTACTGCTGCTCTGTCTTTGTGGTTCAAAACTGTTGTCCTTCGAGCCGGATTCGAACCAGCGACCTAAGGATGGCTGATTTCACGCCACTACAGTCCTCCGCTCTACCAACTGAGCTATCGAAGGACACGTGAGGGTGGTGCTTACAACACCTGGGATAATGGATGGCCTGATGGTTTTTAGTTTTGTATTCACGCGCGCTTCGGAAAATAGGGCCAACTGTAAGGCAGTGTTCCCCGACACTGGAATTTCTATACATTTATCCGAGTACCGTGTTTCCTAGCGTTATAAATATAAAAAATCCATTGGGTTGTATACATGAGACATTAGGTGATTTGTGTGTATTCCATAAATGAAAGCCCTCCGCGATCCCTTGTCCCCCTCTAGATACCGCATAGCTAGGGACAGGCTCTGCGCTGTGGCTGATGTCCTGTGCGGTCCACCTCCTCCTTCCTCTCAAAACTGCCTGGTTGTCCCGTAAATTCTGTAGTTGTTCTAGGTACAGACAGCTGGGTTGAAGAGGATTCCGGGGTTGTGAACAGAGCACTGTCTGTATTTTCATACCTTTGCTATAAGTCAATTAGGAAATGGTGCAGCTTAACAACTAGTAAAATTTCCCTGTGAATCTTAACATATTGTTAGGCTTTATTTACTTCTTTAGAAACTTAGAGATAGAAAGACTTAATACCTAATCCAATATTCCTGGAAACCAGAACTCCTAACTCGGTAAAGCCTCAGACAAACCGATGGCCCAAGCACAACGCATGGATATGAGTTATGAGATTGGGCTGATTTTCTTTTCCTCAACCTCCATCCATGGAAAATAGCCGGGAAAAAAAGAGAAGCCACACAAAATTCTGCTCAGCGATGAGTAAGGAGAAAACACGTGTGACCTTGAGCCAGTTTTGAGATGGATAGTGCTCTGAGTTTTGAACTTTCTTGTCTGAGATATGAGAGTGGGAGCGAGCGGCAGGAAGATGAGGGGCTTCGTTCTCACCGTAGTTTTTGTCAGCTCTGATTGCAAAGAAAAAGCAAAAGGACTAAAGGCAGTCTCCGCCGACTTGGAAAGGGCCTGCTGGGGTCGCCCTGCACAGCGTAGGGACAGAATCACTTTCTCTAAAAAAGTGTTTCGCCTTCTCCATTTCAATTTTGATCATCTTGGCCAATTTCACTGAAATTAGAAAATAACATTAAAGCAAACAGGAGGAATTCTCTGATAATGAAATCTCAATAGAAGATGCAGATGTTGGGTGGGGGGCTTTGTGTGAGTTTCCTAAAATGATGGCTCCCTGGCACCTGGAACAGTACCTGGTACCCGGCTCTCCACCGGCCCAGGAGAAAAAGGCAACTACTGCCTTTGTCTTTTTGCAAGGACACCAGCTGTAGACCCGCCATATGTTGTTCACTGCTCTTGTAATATTTACCTTGGAAAAATAACTTGAACACCCTTTGATCAAACTACAGAGCCAGAATAAAACCAAGTGGGCCGCGCCCTCTCCTAGCCTTCCGCCTCTGTGTGATGGGGAAAGCCCGACACGTAGTGGGTCTTCAAGGATATCCGAATGTGTTCCTGGGACCCATTCAGCCAACTGATGGAAATTTTAGGGGCGGGGGCGGAGATTGGCGGAAATGCTGCATAGGCCGAGGTTGAACCTCGTTGCTTGAGTAAATTGATTTTCTCCTGGCTTCACCCTCAACCTTCCACTTCCCAGTTTCAGAAGGTCAAATGCTGTGTTAAGCTCTTGCCCCATTCCCAAGACAGGTGTTTCTGGGGAACCCCGCGCTGTGGCCCAGGCGCACTCCACGATCCTTTACCGCCAGGAGCCTGCACCGCAGCACCAGGTGGGCGGCGTCCAGGGCGGGTGTCTCCCCGCGGCTGCCAGGTCACCGCAGACCTGCAGCTCCGCACGAACTGGACAGTCTGAACTGTCCCGAGTCCGGGCTCACGGTCAGCTTGCAAAGGGGATAAAGCAAACGAGCGCTGCGGCCAGGTGGGGAATTAGCTCAAATGGTAGAGCGCTCGCTTAGCATGCGAGAGGTAGCGGGATCGATGCCCGCATTCTCCAGTTTTGTGCCTGTCTTTTGGCTTTGCTTCTCCTGCTAAAATCTTAGGGAAACCGAAGCCTTGCAACGACGTCTGCTCATTCCTAACATCGCTGCTCTTTCTTTCAGGACCTGTGTTGGAGACCCTGTGCGTGCAGGCGGTTCCCCCAGCCTGGGCTGAGTTCTGTGGGGGCGCCCGTGTGTTTTGCATATCTGACTTTCGGTTTCTTCCTGGTGGATGGACAGCTCTACCCCTCGGCACATGTGTTCGAGTATTGGATTTTTTTTTTTTTTTTTTTACTTTCTGTATCTATTTTCCACCGTCAGTTCCGCAACTTTAACAAATGCAGTGCATGAAGAGCATGCAGGCGTGTTTGCGGTTTGAGTTCACTCGGGAGCTGCCACTTTAGCACAATCTCCAGCCCTTAATAGGAGTGGTTTCCAGTGCGTCTTGGGCAGAACGAGCCTGATTCAACAAACCTGGGCTTCTGTGTTCTTTTTCGGCTGTCCAGGTGATTTCCGAAGCGTGGGAAGAATGATACAAAAAGTTTCGAGGCGCAAAATCCTCAGACAACTCTTCTTTACTTTAACACCCTTGTCAAGACTTGGATCCGATATTTTTGTCATTGAGCACTCTCCCACAGGCACCCGGGATCTCATTTCTGAGACAGGGTAGCAGTGGGATTATTGCGTATTACTGAGATTAGCGCAAAAGTAGCAAACGTGTTATACTCTACTTTTTCAGCGAATTCCACAGGTGGGTAGGAACTCCTCTGCATTTTTTCTCTTGTATAGTGTTTTTTTTTTTTTTTTTTTTTCCTGAATGCACTGTTCTCTTCCAGCAGTGTTTTCAGAACTCGAAGCATATTATCATCACCTGTGGAGGTTTTTTTTTTAAATTACCAATTACCAAGGCCTAGGTCTCAACTCTAAAGTGGCACAAGTGCAGGCGCTTTGTAAATTCTCCCCGAGAGATCAAATCCCCACCGAATGTTCCTACGCGAGCCCTAGCTAAACAGAAGGGCGACTGCGACTGCACCTGCCAGGGCGCGTGGGCGGCGGCGGAGGTCCAGTGTGCAGCTGACCGCTTCGGCCGGCAGGGGGAGCGCGCGCCCCACCAATCGCCGGCCGACCCGCGCGACCCCTTGGCCGGGAGCGGACGCCCCCCTCGCCCCCTAGCCGGGCGGCCTCTGTGGTCCGCAGCGTCGGGGCCTGGGGGTGTTCACAAGGGCTGAATTATGAGAACTCCGGGATTGAAGTCTGATCGTACGCATGGAAACAATCGTGTCGGAGAATAATTATTAAAAAATGCTACACTTGCGGCGGATCGAGAACAGATTTGAATGTATTTCCAATACAGACAGGTGTATTGGAAAACGTGAAGGTTGGAAAAGACGAGTGGGAATTGCATTGTGTGCCAAGGTGAAGGTAGGGACTCGTAAAAATTGCAAAACACAAATTCCTTCGAGCCGGATTCGAACCAGCGACCTAAGGATGCCTGAGAGCTTCCACTACAGTCCTCCGCTCTACCAACTGAGCTATCGAAGGAACCGCGAGCACGGCTCTCCTGCCGACGATGCCATCTCT